TATAGCATGGGATGTTCTGTAAAGGAACTGATCATTGTTTTTGTCTACTTATTGGAAATTGGGTTTTTATAACACTGAGTAATGTTAATACCCAATTTCTCCAAAACACTGCAGTAACAAGCCTTTATTTGAAGTTTAGAATGTGATGTCCTGTATTAGACCTGACTATTGTTTTTTTCTACATATTTTAAATGAGCAATTTTTTTTCCAAATTGCTGAAGTAAAAAGTATTCAGATGTAGTATATATGCATATAGCATGGGACATCCAGTATCAAACCAGATCAGTCTTTTATTTAACTTATGTCAAACAATGTATTTATAGCACTTTAAAGACTTTATAGCTCAATAATAGCACATTTCTCCAAAATGCTGCAGTAAGTTATTATGAGGTATGCATATAATATTGGATGTCCTGTCCATTGTTTTCTTCTGCTCACCTAAATGAGGTCTTTTACATGAGGTATTCATTTACATCCTGTATCATTTACATCCAGCAGCGGCGCCGGTTACTGCTTTCTCTTTTCTTTCCCCATTCTTTAAACAGATTATTAACAGGTCTAATGTTAACGTGATCCTATTATCACACGGTATGCTTTTCACCAGCTTTCCTTTGCTGTGTGTGTGTGTGTGTGTGTGTGTGTGTGTGTGTGTGTATATATATATATATATATATATATATATATATATATATATATATATATATATAATAGGAGATTAACTCGCTGTTAGGTTAACTGGTGATCTGGGACCTTTAGCCTGGACAATTAAAGAAAAGTTTTGTTAAATAAAAAGAGCATGTTTACAGCTATATTGAGCTTGTTTTGACACATTATTTTAAATTTATGGCTAAGAAATAATTATTTTTGTTGTGGTAAGAGATACATTTGGTAAGTGCTTAATTTTGAGTCCTGTAAAGTCACGTATAATAGAAACTAATTGCAGTGCTACACAAGGCCGGAGTGGGACTCCTTTACAGCCCTGGAGTTTCAAGCCTTAGACCGGCCCACCTCAGTTCACGACTGACTATATTAAAATCAGGTCATTTCCAGTTCAGTTTCTAATGACACGATCACGTCTTTTTCAAGGACACAGCTGCTTTTAAGATTAAAGGGTAGCTGAATCTCCAACACTATTCTTTACAACAGCACAACGTCCTTTCCTGCAATATCTGAATATATATTCTGTGCTGAACTCTTTATAGATATCCAGTCCTTTATAACGGTGGTCACACAAAAAATAAAATATGTACACCTATATAAGTAACCCAAACAGTATTACATGTCTTAGCAATAAAAATGAAAATAAATGACTCTGGTGATGTTTGAACTCCGGTCAGCGGCGTCATAATGAAACGTGCTGACCGCTGGACCACAATGGCTTAAGCATTTACTCTCCTTTTTAGATTTCTGATCAAGGTATGTCAGATTTATTTCAGTTTTTCTCCTTTGGTTTGGCTCATTTCCTGAAACAGGAATTACATTCTCAAAACAACATGGACAAACCTCCAAACCACTTGGCAATTGTTCACAGCAGAGCTGAATTTCTCATTCATTTCATCAAATTGCAAATGTCTAAGTTCATCTTTGCACATGATTAAGTACAGATAGCCGACAGTTTCCAAGTGAAGAGATCTAGTTGATCTAAACTGATTTGTAATTCTCAGTCTAATGGTCTTTCTCTCCAAAACGTGTCATCATTATTACACTGTATAAGTCATCATATGCACAATAGTCTGTTCAATTGTCCAAATCAGTCAAGACCATAACAGCATGAACACCATACAGCAGGTGAATGCTCGGAGCATTTGATGACAGTTTATTACAGCTCTCTACTCTTTTTGCTCTGATATATGGAAGATGCTTTGTGTGTGCTTGATCATTACAATAATAAAGGAGTGACCGTTTCCCTGGCAGTATGAGTGTAATGTGTGACGTCAAACCTTGGAGGCTACTCGTACCCTAAAATCCTGTTTCTGTTTTCAGTTTTATACATTGTCGGCTGGACAAAAACAGTACAGTAAGCATTGTCAGTGAAGGACTGGGTTGAGACTGTGGGGTGGACATGAGGGATGTTTTAGTGGTGCTTTGCCATGATGACCAAACATCTGAACATTCTGACTTGCAGTGCTCACACAATGCTGAAGGGACAAAGCGTTTTGGGGCATGGACTGTTTAAATGAGAAGATCATTTAGTTTTGACACACGAGTGAACTGTTTTGGGAAAGATATAGGGCTTTATTTTGACGGTCCATGCGCAGAGCGCAAAACGCTGGGCGCAAACGCTTTCAGGGCGTGTCAGAACGCATTTTTGCTAATTTACGGATGGAAAAACCTGCTTTGCGTCATGGCGCATGGGCTAAAAGGGTTGAGTTTAATTTTTTAATGAGTTATAGGTGTGTTTTGAGAATAAACCAATTAGAGTCTCATCTCCCATTCCCTTTAAGACCCAGCTGCGTCGCGCCAAGAGCACATTCGCTATTTACAGGACACAAAGTAAGTCTAAGTGGAAAAAATGAGCATTTCACTAGCAAACAGTTCACAGTTTTTTAACAGAAAACAGTTAAACAGAGCATCTACTGCGTGAGAATGAGAGTTAAATGATCTACTTTCACTTTAGCTCTTGGATAGGGAAACCTTTATGCACAGACATCAATTAGCCTATAAATAATCAATTTCGTTTGTTAAGCGCAAAGATTTGTTTTAAAACTATTTCTAAATTCAGTTCTAATTTCTAGCAAATGAATAAATGAACATTAATGCCCAAGTGTGGTCAAAATACTCAGTTATTTCCAAATACACCTGCCATGCCCCATATGGTCTAAAACCTGACAGGTGGCAAATCTAAGCTTGTTTTTAATAAAACAAATATAAATATGGATATAATAAGTAATACTGCTAATAATAATAACATTATACAAAAGCAAATTGTTATGAATGAACTGAAAAAGCCTCCCGAGATGAAGAAGACATAAAAGCAGTGGTTTTTCATATTTATGTAGGCTAGAAAATAATATGTTTTGTAATATTTTAATCATTTATATTTATATCCTATATATATTCTTATTATATACTATATATATCCTTAATATTTAATTTTTTTCATATGTAAAGATATTTGCCTATTGCTCTCTTGTGCGTATTAAGCAGTGTGTAAGCGAGGCGCAACTCTGCGCCGGAGTTTAGACCGGGTTAGTTTTGGTCTAATGAAAAATCTATTATAGTTTCTCAAAATAGCAACGCGCCAGCAGTCCGCCTCAGAACGCCTCTCTTTTTATACCAGAACGCCTATGAGCGCACATATAAGCGCTAATGCATTTGCTATTTAAACAGCGTAGGGCAACGCCTCAAAACGACTCTTGCTGAAACTACCAATAGACTATTGCGCTGTGTCTAGCGCCATACTGCGCCGGGTGTATGATAGGACCCTTAAGCTTTTGTAAGTGAGCTGTAGTGTTTTGCCAAATGATCTTAGAGTTTTGAGAATGTCATTTCTCTTTCAAGAAAAGAGTCAAACCAATGGAGAAACACTGTAATCTAGTGAATCAGCAGATCTTCATTGAGCAGCTGTAATATTCATTAATAATAATTATTAAAAGTCTTTCACTAAGGTGCCGCTGTTTGGGGTGGAATGATGTTACGTCATTAACCTGCAGGCTGCATTTTCCCCATGGGGCTGTGAGAAAATAAATAAAAAGAGCAGAGCTGCGGCAAAATAATTAATAAAAGAGTGAGGCTGTGCTCAAATAAATAAACAAATGAAAAAAATGCGACTGCTGAGAGTGCGAGCAGCTAGAGACACCGGCCCTCACGACCAAAAAACACACCGACCCACCGGGAATTCTCCCAATTAGCCAATCCGGGCCTGGTGCTCCACTACAACCCATTTGCTCACGCACATCAAGCAAGGTCATACACAACACAGAACACAGTGAAATGCATGAGGACATCACACACAATCTAGATCAAGTCATTTTAGCAAGTCAAAGTCAGATTTATGCATATAAAATATATTCTCCAACAACAAAATCATGGCTACTGAACATGGTGAGTGGCTAGTAATGTTGGAGATCTACTAGCCAAAGTGGCTGGTGATGAAAAAAGTTAATGTCAAGCTCTGTGTGTATATGTATATATACCTGCATGTGAATGCTAGGACCATCGGATCTGTTTCAGTGCGGTGTTGTTAGTGAAGTGAGCATTGATTGCTATAAAGTGTGCTGTTCTTCATCTCAGTATATTGTCATCTCCAGGTGATGGTCAGCGGCTGATTGTTTCCTCAAAGCTCTGCTAATGTCTGCATTGGTGTTTTAGCTGCAGTATGGCAGAGGAGCGAGCAAAGGACTCTCTCTCAGAGAAACACAGGTATTGACTCTGTTTTTACACCATTATTTCAACACTTTCTTTGAAGAACAAAGACCAACAACAATGCACTTATTTGTGTTGCTATTGCCTGATCAAATGATGGACAAAGCTTCAGTTTACAGCTTCAGCAAATGTGTTTAGATCATTCTAGATTACAGACAGCTCGATCTGGTGACCTGATCAGACAGACCTTCAGTCGACTATTAGTTTGTGCTGAATTAAACTGAACAAACTCATATTTGTCTGATAATCTCTTGTAAAGGAGACTGAAGTTTGTCCTGCAGTTTATTCCTCTGGTGTGTTTGTGTGTTCAGTGTGAGATCAGGATCATGTGTGTCCAGCTCTGTGTCTCTGAAGAGTGACCGGTCAAAAGAAGAGTATCCACCAGACTTCAGTGAGAAAACACCATCATCTGCACAAAGGTATGTTGTGTTGTACATTATTGCTCACTCATGGACTGTTTCAGAATTTGTTAGAACATTTTATTATACTTACACAACACTTTAAAGGCTCGATAGATAAGAAACACAAGAACAGTGTTGTATCATTTTCAGACTCTTTTGAATGTCTTCATCTATACTCCTGATAAGGACAAATATCTGACCATAACACATTTATCTGCTGTCTATGACTTTAGATAATGCATCTGAAAACATTCTGGTAGTGAAATATCCTCTTTGTCATATAAAGTTATGAGTCACAAGGCAAAGGATTGATGTTTAGCATCTATTAAATAAAAATCCCAAAGACAAGGAGAAGATCAGAGCAAACACAGAATAACCCAAGTAACAAGATGGCAGACATGGCAAAACTATAATCCCCAGAACAGAGAGACAGAGATGCAAACACAACGGGCCTCATTTATTAATGCGATGTAGAAACGAGCGCAGATATGAGCGTAAACATCAATCCATGACCATGTTCATGTGTGATTAATGAAACATTCTCATACAGACGAGCTAATCATACAGAATGAAAGCTGTTGTCATTTCACTATCACACTCTTACCTGTCTCACATATACACATGTACACTATTATTATTATCTGTTAGACACTTTTAAAGTGTTTAATGATTAATGTTCAATATTGGGTGTGTTAGCCTAATGAAAGTGATCGTACACCAAACTCCCCGTTAGCCACGTTTCCAGCTATTATTAGACCTGTTTCAGACCTGTTTAATATAACCTGATATCAGGCCCGCATTAAGAATTCAGAGGCTCTTAATGTTTTAGGATATAACTCAGGTTTTTGAGCACACTTTGTTATTGTTGTTCATTTATTTGTTTGCTGGAAATTAGAACTGAATTTAGAAAGAGTTTTGAAACAAATCTTTGCGCTTAACAAACTAAATAAATTATTTATAGACTAATTGATGTCTGTGCATAAAGGTTTCCCTATCCAAGAGCGAATGTGAAAGTAGATAATTTATCTCTCATTCTCACGCAGTAGATGCTCTGTTTAACTATTTTCTGTTAAAAAACTGTTAGCTGTTTGCTTGTGAAATGCTCAGTTTTTCCACTTAGACTTACTTTACGTCCTGTAAATAGCGAATGCGCTCTTGGCACGACGCAGCTGGCTCTTAAAGTGAATGGGAGATGAGACTCTGATTGGTTTATTCTCAAAATACACCTATAACTCATTAAGAAAATAAACTCAACCCTTTTAGACCATGAGTCACGGC